GTTTCTATTCTTTCATTTCCTGCTGTTCCCCGCCTGTCTGTGTCTCTGGTCCTCTGCCGCAGCACCACGTACACCACATATACCTGACCCTTCATGCAATTACAGGGGGAGGGGGTGTCAAAAAGGTAAGAGGAAGGGGCACCAGAGGGCCCCTCTTCTTTTGTTTCCTGGCTAAATATGTACCAGATGCTGAGGGTTTTCCAGACTGGACACGTGAGACATTGGTCTGGGTGGGTGTGGGAGCCACACTCCCTGCAGCTCTCTGATGAATCTTGCTCAGAATTCTAACAATGTAGAGCTAAGCTGCTCGAGTTCACATACTGCCTCACCAAGGTGGAAGGTGGCTTTGGACTAAGTTCTGGCTAATGGGATGCAAGCAGAAGGTTGTAGGGTAGGTAGTAAAAGATAACTCTTGAATACGTGTCCTTTGCTCAACTTCTGAATCTCTTTCTCCATCTTACCTCTTGGAATGAAGGTGTGATGCCTGGAGCTTTAGAAGCTGTCTTGGAAGCTAGGAATGGTGGGAGGGTTGCTGGAAGGCTTGACGATTTTGTGGAGTTGCCATACCAGCCCTGGACTTTCTGGATTTCCTACACTTCCCCATCTGGACTGCCTTTACAAGAGAGAGACATGAACTTGTTTCAGCCACTAACCTTTTGGGTTTTCTATTCTATAGAACTTAATTGAGTCTTCAGCAGTACAATGAGTTGCTATCCTTAAAAAAAAAAAAAAATGCAGCCATAAATCCATGTGCTCTTTATTTGTTTTGCTTTTTTCCCCTTATTTAATTGGAATTCTGTAACTTTCTGAATTTCATTTGTATGTATTAGTCTGTTTAGATTTTCTTTCCCCTTCTTCAGTCAGTTAGGTCTTTTAGTTTCTTTTTTAAAAAGTCACTTAGTCAAGATTTTCAGTTTTATATGCACATAATTCTTCAAATTGTTCTCAAAATTATCTCCAGTATATGCTTTTTCATGCTTCCATTTTTTTCTGTATTCTCCTTTTTAAAAAATCTTTATTAGAGCAGCCAATGGTTTATCTAATATAGTAGAATTTTTAACCCATAAGGACAAATAGGACTTATTTTTCTTCCTATAACTTGCCTGCACCACAATCAACTTGTAATTTTATCTTTATTACCCTATGGTTTCCAAAGATTTATTTTGTTAATTAAAATTTTTTTTTTCTTTAGTTGAATGTTTATCATCGTTTTTTCTTGGTCAGCAATTTAAGTGTTTAAGGACATAGAATTTTCTCTGAGCAAAGCACTCTAGGCCCTGCCACCGTTTTAAGGAGGCCACCGCTCACTGGGCAGGACTATACTTGGATAAGACAGGACTGCAGGGCACCTAGAGGTAGAGATGAACTTAGCAATATCCAGATGGTGCCTTCACTTATCCTGCACGAAGGTGGGGTCTCTCAGTTATCCAGTGGGTCTGAGGCTCCAGAGTGGGTACATGTGCTTGGACTATGGGGACAGAGAACAGATAACATTGGGGTTGCTTGTATAGGGGAGGAAACAATCATTTTCCTCTACCCATCTTAGGTTCTCCAACTAGGGACCTGTAAATTAGACTAACAAGAGAAAAACAAAAGTTTATTAACATGATGTGAAATAATAAAACATATGTATGTATATATACACACACACACACACACACAACACACACACACACACACACACACACACACACACACACACATATATGAATACACACACACACACACATTGGCCTCTTCCCTTGGTTCCTAGTACAGGGCTCCTAAATCCCTTGGAACTTCCTAGGTGACAGGAATGTCTCTTGTTCTAATGAGGCAACTCTTGGTGAGCTCCTGGATAGATCAGGATGGGGGCTAATCACCAGAAGGACCAGGCCATGATTAGTTGCTTGGAACTTTCAGCCTCACTCCCTAGCCTTTGGGAACGGAGGAGGGGCTGGAAATTAAATTGATGGTTGATCACGCCCACATGATGAAGCTGCCATAAAAATCCTCAAAGTACAGGGTTTGGGGAGCTTCAGTTGGTGAACACATCCACATGCTGGGAGGGTGATGTACTCCAACTCCATGGGGACAGAAGCTCCTGTGCTAGGGACCTTTCTGGACCTCATCCTATGTATCTTTTCATTTGGTTGTTTATTTGTATCCTTTATCATATCTTTTATTACATAGTAGACCAGTAAACAAAGTGTTTCTCAGAGTTCTGTGAGGTATTCTAACAAATGATCAAACCCAAAGAGGGGATCATGGGAACCTCCAATTTATAGCCAGTCAGTCAGAAGCACAGGTGACAACCTGGACTTGCAACTGGCTTCTGAGATGGGGGTAGGAGGGTGTTTATTGCTCAAGCAGATCTCACCAGGTCTGGTAGCCATCCACACTTACTACATCAGATTATTGATGCTCAGATTATTAATGGCTTACTATGGCTCAGATTATTAATCATGTCAGTGGTTAGATGAGTCATTGCATTTTTGATTTTCATGCTCTTTTCTGCAGTTGACAGAGACCATTGCAGCTTTTCCTCATCCCCCATATATGAGTTTAAATGGCACCAAACAAACTGGGAGAGGTCAGACCTCCTGGTCTCTGAGTCACCCTCCTGGTCACTCAAGAACTCTTAGAAATCGAAACTGAACCCATTGAAGAGGGATGGAGAGGACAAAGCATAATCATCGCTATTATCTTGCTTTTCCCCAGCTCAGCCTGACCACTCGGGGTATTTTTACAGTCATTATAGTCATTTATTCAATGCAGATTTATTAAGTATGCACTAAAAACCCAGCACTGTTTTAGGTACAAGGAAAGAGCAGCAAAGAAAAGAGACCACATTTCTGTTCTCATGGGATTCAGATTCTACTCTGTATGCTAGTTAAATCAAGGAGGAGACTTTGCTCCTTCCCTTACTCATCTGGGGGAGGCAGGAACAAAGGAGAATATTGATAGACCTGGAAATAGGGCCGGAGAGTGTCAGAGAAGGAGGCCTTTGGGAAGGTGAAGATGTGGGAACCAGTGGTCATGTTGTAAAAGGATACAACTCCAGCCTCGAAGTCCAGAAATATCCCCACAACCAGGGGCTGCTCCCTCAGCTGAAGGGAAGTTAGGGGAGAGGTAAGCGCTACATAGCCTTTCTTTTTGCACAGTCTGATGGCCCAGAATCCAGACTGAGGCGTCTGCACCATGACAGTGTCCCTCTGCACATTTTCCATACAGACTCCTAAATCCCACCCAGTTCCCTCTCCCACATCCACTTCAAAGTAATGTTTTCCTGAGGTGAAGCCTTCACAGCCCAGGATACAGGGTAAGGCACTAAATCTCCTAGAAGACGTATCAAGATTCTCCTGGGGGCATCCACGAGTCACTTGTCTCCGATCCTCAGACAGAATTAGTTCGTAATAAGCTGTATCTGGATCCAGAGTCACGCTGACTGGGGAGAAAAAAAAAGACATGATTTTTGTAGCTGAGAGCAGTTTATTTTAAATAAAACAAGCCTGCATTCAAATCCAAGCATTGTTTCTTTTTTTATTTTTATTTTTATTGGCGTATAGTTGATTTACAATGTTGTGTTAGTTTCAGGTGTACAGCAAAGTGAATCTGTTGTACATATACATATAACCACTCTTTTTAAGATTCTTTTCCCATGTAGGCCATTACAGAGAACTGAGTAGAGTTCCCTGTGCTATACAGTAGGTCCTTATTAGATATCTATTTTTTATATAGTAGTGAAAATATGTCAATCCCAATCTCCCAATTTATCCCTCCCCCCACTTGCCCCACTGGTAACCATAAGTTTGTTTTCTATGCCTGTGACTCTATTTCTATTTTGTAAATAGGTTCATTTACACCATTTTTTTAGATTCCACATATAAGCGATATCATATGATATTTGTCTTTCTCTGTCTGACTTACTTCACTCAGTATGACAATCTCTAGGTCTATCCACGTTGCCACAAATGGCATCACGTCGTTCTTTTTTATGGCCGAGTAATATTCCACTATATATATGTACCACATTGTCTCTTACTAGCTGTTGTGAGCTTAGGCAAATCATTCTCTGAGCCTCAGTTCTGTTAAATATAAAGTGGAAATCATCGTATCTGTCACCAAGCATGGTGGGGAGGATTGAAGGAGCTAATGTATGCTTAGTGCTTAGTAAAATTCCTGGTAAACAGTAAGTGCCCTGTAAATGGCAGTAATAATAATGATATCATCATCATCATCTTCAACATCATCACCATCTTAGTCACTCAGAGAAGGCAAGGAGCAGAACTAACCAGAGTTAACATGGTTACTGTCCTCTCCAAAGCCCTTCCTCTCCCTTGTAGGACTTCTAGGAATCATGGAATATTGGAGCAGAAATGAGACCTTCATCATCTCTACTTAATTACCATTAACACTGAGGATCAGAGAAGGAAAATGACACAACTAATGTCATAGCTTGTTATTGGAAAACCCAAAATTTTACCCAGGCTTCAGGACACACACCTAGTCCCCCAACTTTTAAGTGTAAGCTCTTCTTTCTTGCTTCAGGTAATGCTCTATAGGGATTAGTATAAAGTAACACAGAAGAGACCAATACACATGAAAAATATCTGACTAGAGTCAAGTAAGACATAAAAAGGTAGATAAAGTGTGATACTTTAAAATTGCAGCAATGCAATTTTAAAAATGAAAGGTGGTAATGGGGTGGTCCAGCAAGAGAGTTAGCAAACCACTGTGTTACTGGGTTAAACTCTGATCATTTGGGCTGTGGCAATACGGGAAATCAAGTATTAGGAAACACTTCCACTGCTGGATGTTCTCCACTTGCCCCTCCAGATCACTCCCCACCTTTCTTCAGCCTGCTCTGTGTCCAGGAAGGCTAACCCCTATGGACACACCAACCAGGCTCCCTTCCCTCTGACTCCTATTTGGTTAAGCCAATGAGAAGCACTAGAGGAGACCACAGGGCAAACAGAAATAGAGTTAGAAGTATTTACTGCCCCAAGTCCCTCCCCACTAGCTATGATTTGGAGGGTCTGCATTCCTCTGCCTCTGGTTACAGCTCCCTCCATCTGCTACCAAAGCCTTGGGGAGGTGATGACTCCCTACCTATTCCTAGCCCTGGTTTGCTTCACTGTTCCTTGATGACCACCCAAATCCTCCTCTTTGTAAATAATCCCTTTATTAAACTCTCTTCAGTCGGTCCTTATCATGAGCCTGACTCACAAAAGTTTCGGGCTTCATTAGTCTTCCCTGAATGATCCAGGAAAACCAAGCTGAGAAATTAAAATGTTTACAGGTTGGTAATACCACTAGAAAGATGGTTGATGCCTGAGCTCTTTGGAAACAAAAGTCATAGACCCTGAAGACAAATGTGTCTACTCTAAGTTTGAATCTCTATACATCAAGAGATAGGATGAAAATGTAAAATGCCATACACATAACAGAAGATATTGGCTATAATAAACTCCCATAAATCAATAAGGAAAAGAACCCAAAAGAAAAACTCTTAAAACACAGAAGAAGCCTGAAAGGCAAATGGACTTACTAAAAGAAGCTCAACCTCACTAGTGACATTGGAGAAACTCAAACTAAGTCCACAATTAGGTACCATTTCAAATCCATCAGATGGCCAAAAATTATAAGCAGAGAGTGAGGGAGATGTGAAACAGTGGGATCTCTTATGTTGCTGGTAGGGCATAAAGTGATACAATTTCAAGATCTGTAGTATCTAGTAAAATTAGATGTGCATCCCTACACAGCAGCATTTTTAATTCAAGGTATATCCCCAGAGGAAACCATTCACAGGACACAAGAAAGCATGGACAAGAAAGTTCACAGTAGTATTGTGTGTAATAGCAACAAACAAACAAAAACCAACTACACATACCTTCAGCGTCCACTCCACAAGACAATGAATTAAAAAGTACATCATTTTCATTTTTTGCCACATTGCAGAGTGATTAAGAGAGTGAATTCTAGAGAGATACTACCTGAGTTACCATCTGCTGTTGTGGGAATTTACAACAGTCACGTAACCTCTCTGTGTTTTGGTTTCCTTATCTATAAAGTAAAAAATGCTACCTACAGAGAGGCTTGTGGTGTAAAACAGGATAACACACGTGAAGCTCTTCTCATCTGTCGCAGAAAGAGTGATCAGTATGTGTGAATTGTTTTTATTGGTGCTGGTGAGAGACTGCATGTTGCTACATTGGAACAAGTAATCTGGTAACATGTGTTAAGATTAACAACAATCCCAGCTTTAGGTATACACCCTACAGGAATGAAAGCACCAGGATATAAGGTTGCATGGACTAGAAAGTTATTGCTGCAAATGTTATAATACCCAAGTGCTGAAAGCAGCCTGAAGCTCCATCAGTAGGAATATGGTTACGTATAGTTATGATGTACTATGGAATATTAGACAGCTTTAAAAAGCAATGGGTGAATAGGAAGAGACGATCTATGTATTAAATGTTTGTAAAAACATAGAGAAAGACCTAGGTCTTGTTACCTGCAGAAGGGTAAGAGAAAACTTGAACTTTTTTTTCCTATCTCTCTATACTGTTTGAGTGATTACAATTTATTTATATTACTTTTTTAATAAGAAAAGCTTTAATAATGAGGGTTTCAAAAAGAAGAATTATCTAGTTAAAAGATGAGCTCATTTTAGAAACAGATTGACTTGAACCATGTTGTAATGCCTTCTGTGAAAGATAAGAGTAGAAAAATCAACTCAGTTAAATCTGGACATAATTTATATAAAGTCCTTCCTTGCATCTGTACAGGATCAAATACAGAGTTGCTATTTTTTGGTAGTTGTTATTGTTGTTTATTCTTGTTAACTTGAGGGGAAACTGAATACAGGTTCATAATCCTTATCTGAAACCCCTGGGGCAAAATGAGTTTTGAAATTCAGAATTTTTTTTTTTTTTTTGCAGTACACGGGCCTCTCACTGTTGTGGCCTCTCCCGTTGCGGAGCACAGGCTCCGGACACGCAGGCTCAGCAGCGATGGCTGACGGACCTAGCCGCTCCATGGCATGTGGGATCTTCCCGGACTGGGGCACTAACCCGTGTACCCTGCATCGGCAGGTGGACTCTCAACCACTGCGCCACCAGGGAAGCCCTCAGAATATTTTTGATGTTATAAAGGCAAACAATACAGATACTCTAAATTATGTGCCCACCCCTGGAAGGGTCTAAGGCATTGTCTTGTAATCTAATGCATCAATATTTCTGCAGTAAAACATAAATTCAAACTAAGCGGGATAAATAAAGACTTTAAATAATCTCATATCAGTGCAGTTCAGGTTCGGCCACCGTGTCACTCAGACACAAGGGTAGCCTTCCGTGATCCTGCCTCTTGGTGTTCATACCGTTATGCAGTTCCTTCCCTTTGAGTGTGGGCAGGACCTGTGAATTGCTTCTGACCAATAGAATATGACAAAAATGATGTGATGTGACTCCTGTGACTATATTTCATTTTATAAGCCTCCATCTTTCTGGCAGACTTGCTCTAGGGACTCTCTCCTGAGCTTACTCTGAAGAAATAATTGGCCATGTTGGGAGGCCCATGTGCAAGCAGCTGATGGCTCGCTTCTAGAAGCTGAGGGCAGCCTCTGGCCAACAGCCAGCAAGAAGCCAGGGCCCTAAGTCCCATAACCATAAAGAAATAAATTCTGCCAACAACCTGAGTGAGCTTGGGAGAGGATTCTTCCGCAGTCTAGCTTCCAGGTAAGAACACAGCCAGGCTAACACCTTAATTGCAGCCTTGTAAGACCCTAAGCAAAGGACCCAACTAAGCTGTGCCCAGCTTTATCTCACAAAACCTGTGAGATAATATATGTGTATTGCTTTAAACCACTAAATTTGTCTGCAGCAATAGATAATTAATACAGCCACCAAATCATTTTAGGTTAGGTCCAATTTTGCAGCCAAACAAGTTATGAAAAAATTGTCAGTTTTCAGAACTTTTGGAATCTTGTAGTTGTGGATAAGGGATGGTGGAAATATAGCAAGCACTGATGAAGAGAATCAAAGAAGCAGGAAGCTCAGGCTTTGGAATTGGTAAAACTTGGTTTTTGTCGTGGTTCTAACACTTACCATCTGTGTTATCTGGGCCAAGGCCCTAAAACATTTGGACCACAGTCATAATACTCACCTACCTTTCTTGCATTGCTCTGAGAATTGACCAAAATATTAACAATAAACACTATGTTCCAGACACTGCTAAGCACTTTACACATGTTGACATATTTAATTTTCCCGACAACCCAATGAAGTGGGAGTTGTTAATATTTTCATTTTTCATATGGGGAAACTGAGGAGGTTATTTGCCTGGAATGACATAGCTGATAAGTGAGAGAGCAGGAATTTGAAGGGTCTGCACAGGTAACCAGCATGCCATGTCCCTGTCTAAGCACTGGAGCAAACTAACAAGGGAGAGGGTGACAGCTCAACTGAAAATACCTGAATGACCCCTCTGGCTGTGAGCCTGCCCAGGGCTAGGTGGTGAACTTGGTTACCACTTAAGGTCCCTCTGTCCGTAGCATTTAGGTCTTCTTCACCTACCTTGATAGCTCCTTAACACTTTCTTCACATCAAAGTAAAGCTCAGAAACATTGCACACAGTATGAAGGTCCAAAGAGGGGGCCTCTGGCTGTTCTAGCTTCACAGCCCAACTCCTAGAATAAGCAGAGACCAAGACTTCTTCAGTGGTAAATTCCATTCAGCTCTATATACCCATACCCCTTCCCTCCTGCATTTGTACAGGACTCACCTGCTCAAAGTATCTTTCACATCCTATGGAGAAAGACAAAATGTAAGTGTGGGAACATGAGCATTTCATGGGACTTGGCATGTGGGGCTGTTCTCTATAAACACTCCTTACAAAGAAGTAAAGAAAGTAACCTTGGCCTTAGATATTGATGGATACCCAGATAGAATGATTTGCATCCCAGCCCCCTGGGATATTCAACAAAGCAGAATGTTTATCTGTTATCTTCCTTGCTGTGGTCTGTGGAGAGTCTGCAATCACATCTACCTGCGGGCTGCTTAGGATAGAGGGCCAAGAGCTTTGCCCATGCTCCCTCTGGAAAGACTTGCTTTCAGTGACCTAATTTCCTTCAGAGTGAGCCCACAGTAGAGACCATTCATTGCAAAGGTCCGTAGTGGTGAATCCATGCATTGCCCCTGTGACTGGGCCATTAAGATGGTAGCAGCAGGTATCACATGGTGGTGGGACAGTCATGCTACATTCTCAGGCTACAGTGTGACCTCCAGTTCTGTTAGTGGGGAATAGAAAAAACAGCTCCAGTCGTAGTTTGTCTTAATGGGCTGGATCCATTATGCAGCTGAAAGAAGGCCCCGAAAGAGCTCTGGAGGGCTCTACAGGCAAATCAGGGAGAAGGTTATCACTCATAACCTCCTTTTGGCTGCCCCACTGTGTCACCCACCAGTCATCTGGAGGAGTATTTCAGGAGACAGTTTGACAGTCAGAGTTTTGTGAACATGGGACCGAGGCAAATGGTAGCAAAAGTTATCCCATGGTTCCATTTGGCCAAGGAACCCACCATATCTATATATTTTCTGATTCACCTAAAGCCGCTCTATAGACTAGGGAAGGCCACCTTGCAAATATTGCTGTGTATCCAAAAGAAACATTTCTTTAAATTCCCTACCCTAATGTGCCATTTTTGAGTGAAACAGGCAGGCTTCCCATGCTTCCTCACCATTCTCCTCCTAAAAGCTCAGGAACAGATACCTTCCTTCCCTTCTCCAAGTGCATGGCCTTACCTGCAGCAGATTTTGGGCTGAGCCCTGACATTTATGCTCTAGTTGCAGGATGTAGCTCTCGAGTTCATGGCTCTTCTGTTCAAGATTGGCCTCATTGTCCCTCAGTCTCCTCAGAGTCTGCTCTTTTTCTTTCTCCAGTTTCCATAGGTAAGACTTCTCTTCCTCATGAAGGAAGCTCTGGAGATTCTTAAAGTCAGACTGGATTTTTTGTTTCTGAACTTCTGTCTTCTCCTAGAGCCAAGAAAGGTGGAAACCAACCAAATGTCCATTGATGGATGAACTGATAAACAAAATGCAGTGTATAGTTATAGTGGAATACTATTCTGCCTTAAAAATGAATGAAATTCTGATACATGCTAAAACATGGATGAATCTTGAAGACATTATGCTAAGTAAAATAAGCCAGAAAAAAAAAAAGAACAAATATTTTATGATTCCACTTATATGAGGTATCTAGAATAGTCAAATTCATAGAGACAGAAAGTAGAATAGTGGTTACCAGGAGTTACGAGGAAGAAGGAATGGAACTGTGTACATAAAAATAGTTCAACAGTAAATTTCATTATGCATATTTTAACACATGCATACACAAAAGAAAGTTTGCTCAACTACCATAACATTATTTTCCCATGAATCATTCGAGCTGGGAGAACATCCCAAATTGCCGGCTGCTGAGTCATGCCCGAAAGGCAGGTACTCAGATGTGGGAGAGGTTATCACCTTATTAATATGCTTCTTCAGCCAAGGTGCAGGAGTGCTATTAGATAATTTAATCATGGGACTAGGGCCAAGGTTAAAAACTTTATCAGTTACAAAGATAAAAATGCGTTTTTATTCAGGATATAAGAAAGTAGCTCTGAGTCTGAGGGAATTTCTTGAAGCAAAAGCTTGTAATGAACATCACCAAGACTGGACTTTAAGACAACCAGGCTATTAGGAGAGTCCATGATTCTCAGCAGTGGGAGGTCTGGGTATCAGGCATTTGTCATAGTTAACTACGAAATAGTCATCCACCAACTCGGGTCCACCTACTCATCCTTATGTATAAGAAACCAAATGGTACACCTTGTCGGACTCAGCTTTCATTTGGGGAGATAAGAATTGCAGTTTCCATGAGTGCTTTTTCAATTTACGCAGTGTTTTGATGACTGTGATGTTGTGGTAGAATGTCATTGACAGGGTTTCCATATGTATTAGCTATAATCAAGATCCTCCCCATTGCCCAAGATCCCAGAAATGAGGGAAGCAAGAGTGTCCTCTGAGAGTTCAAGTTTAACAACTGTACACAAAGGATTAGGCAGAGGTTGGAAGGTTGGAAGAAACCTCTGAAAGAGGCAAAATGGCTCACTGGCCTGTGGGATTTGACTGTAAGCCGATTAATTACATAAATATTTCCATAAAGGAATGCATCTCTGATCACGGGGAGGCTGGTCAGCCATGGAAACAGTCTTTCAGACCCTAGAGGCTACAGTGCCAAGTGTGTAGGTTCTTGGAGGACTCTGGTCCTCCTTATAAATCAGATAGATTTCCTTCTTCAGTCTAATGAGCTTGAGTAATACCAACCTCAACCTGGAGTGATTCTGTTTTCTTAGTGCTCACAAAGGGTAGTTTCTGAACCTGTAAGGCTGAAAGCCATACCCTGCACTGTGGTACATGTGCCAAAGCAATAAGGTTAATAAGGCCTTCAAATCCAGAAGGTACTTTGAGATATTAAGAACTGAAACCCAGTCAAGCATGGCTCTAGGTAAATGGGCACACCTGTTCTGCTTCTCCTAACTGAGGTTTCGGAATCCCAGCCGGTTACTACTGAAAGGTTGAAGGGGTTGGAGATAAATTCTCATAGATATTAGACAACGAGGGACATAAAAACAAATGTGCTTTCTTCTTTGGGTTTTATCTGTTTGGTCTGGTTTAGTGAGAATAAGCCATCACTATGCTTTGCTCAATCATCCCCTGTACCTAAGCTCTAGGATGGAAACTAGCTTGAGATCAATAAACCCAAACTCTTACATTCCATTCGGTTATTTGCTTTGCCGTGAACACCTTCAGGTTCATGCATTCCTCTTCCAGTTGCCTCAGTTTTGTCACAGCTTCCTGGAGCTTTTCCTGAAGGAAAAATTGGGTGAATAAAGTCTTTTCAATTCAACAATTCTTTGTTGGGCACCTAAGGAGGATCCCAGCCCTCCAAGATTATTAGAATAGCATGACTATTGAATATGTATTGAGTCCTTACACTTTACCAGGAAGCATGCTGAGGGCTGTATAGGCAGTAACATATTTGATTCCCTTGGCAACACTGAGCAGTTAGTAGGATTTTTAACATCATTTCTGTGCCGCAGAAACTGAAACTTAGAAAGGGGATAAATAACTTGCTCAGGATGCTGTAACTGGTGGGTGGTTGGGCTGTGATCCCAGCTCACCTGCTGACCCTGAGCCTGAGCTATATCCACCACTAACAGTCTTGCCTGGGAAATTCTGCACATAAAACAAGATATTAATCACCTAAAAAGATTTTATGAAGTAATGTGCTGACCCAAACAGAACCAATACCAGAGTGTTTGGTACACATGGAACTTTGTATGTATTATGGTGAGTCAGGAAGGAAAGACAGACCAAGATGCCAGCTGAAGTTATTAGAAACAGTTAATGGAGGAGGGGAGCTCTGAGACCTTTCGAAGAATGGTATCATGAAGCCCTTTAAAAATGATTTAGTATCCATATCAAGTTTTCAGGTTATTTTCCAAAATAGTTTCTCACATTTTCATGGAAAGCAAGTTTAAGCTGAACCAAATTGCTACTTGTGATCAACACTAAAAGAATTGGCTCTCGGGACTTCCCTGGTGGTCCAGAGGTTAAGAATCTGCCTTGTAATGCTAGAGGACGCAGGTTTGATTCCTGGTGGGGGAACTAATGATCCCACATGCCGTGGGGCAACTAAGCAACTAAGCCTGTGCACTCTAGAGCCTGCACGCTGAAACTAAGACCCGACGTAGGCTAACTAATTAATTAGGCTAATTAATTAATTAGAAAAAAAAGAAATTTTATCTTGATTTAAAAAGAAAAAGAATTGGCTCTTGTCCTAAAGCCAATAGGTATACTCAGTTCTCACGTGCTCTCAAGAAAGGGCTCTATAGAACTTGTTAGCAAAAGACTGTATTGCCCTCACTATGTGCCAAGTGCTATTCTAAACTTTACATGTATTAATGTCCCTAAAGCTTATAACAACCTCCTGAGCGTGTATGTTTGGAGACGAAGGGAACTACTACTATCCCCATTGGTAGCTGGGAAAACCAAGGCATGAAGACACTACATAACTTTGCTCAAAGTCACCCATCTAATAAGTAGCAGAACTAAGATTTCAAACTAAGCAGTCTGACTCTCAAGGCTTAGAACCATCACCCCGTGCTGCTCCTTTTACTACTTGGTGGGAAAATAATTCCGATGGGAATATCCCCATTACAGTAATTAGCTGCTCCATGGAGTTTAAGGAAGAGCTGCCATGTGCCAAGTGGTGGTCAGTATTGACGTGTCCTGATGAAGGACCCAGAACCTTAATAGAAGACCACCTCCACGTCATAGGGGAGGGAACAAGGAGCTCACAATGGGGATGACAATTTTCTCAAATCTAGCCAGGGCAGGGAAGGAATAAGACAGCAGGACCATGCCCCCTCCTTTGTTCCACAATAGCAAAGGTCAGCCTTCCTTTATATGCCCTTAAGTGATAAACAGGAGTTGCCCAAAACCTCTCCCTCCATTTCATACTCCATGACCAATCACTTCCAAACCCTTCCACTCATTCCGCTCCCTGAATCTTGCTTGGAACTGCTCCCTTTCCCCCTTCTTATAGGAATTATCTAAATTTTACTCTTTGGTATTCCTTTCATTGTATCAGTACCAGAATGTTCTTTTCAGTGTCAACCTGATCCTTTACTGTGCAAATGAAAATCCCGCTGTGGCCAGGACCACTCTGGGCTATGGGGCTTAGACACCGAGCGGATACCACGTTCTGGGCCCTGACTTCCTTTCCCATGACATCACCTGCCTTCCCTGCACACACCCTCTGGCCTTGTCACAGCGAGTCAGGTACGCTCTCATGGCTGTGCCTTTGCACATGTGGGCCCCTTGGTCTGGAATGCCCTCTCTCTTCTCCATACTTCTATATCTGGTTACTTCAAGAGTCACTTCAAGAGTCACTTTTGGGAAGATTCCTCAGTTACCACTCCACACCCCTTGGTGCTCCTCTCCACCATCCAAATCAGGGGACTTCAAGCAGCCTTTCTGCTGGTTTGTCTGCCCTACTAGACTGTAGGATACCTAAAAGGGGGTGTGTCTTCATCCCCTGTGTTTTCAGACTCTATCCCATGGACTTGCACATTGTGCTTTCTCAAATTACACACACGGTGTGAGGCAATAAAACATGCAGGTGTGCATTGGAGCACATGGCATTCTAGAGCAGGGAGGAGTTCATCAAGAGTAGATAGGGACAAGAGTGACCATCAGGCCTTGATTCAGTGAGGACCCATCATAAACAACTTTTCAGAAGAATGACATGATGAAAGCTATATTTCAGGATCCTAATCTTGGGTTTCAGGCTAAATAATCTCAGGTCTTGGGGGGCAACATGAGGCCGGGTACTCGCCAAGGTCCTCTGGCCCACCACTCACCTTGTAACCTTGGCATACATCTTCCACCAGAGCTGTGGTGTGCCCTTTGTGCTGCAATCCCCGATCACAGCGCCAGCAGATGAGCTGGCCCTCGTCTTCACAGAACAGATGGAGCTTCTCTCCATGTTCCTCACATGACATTTCCTGGTCCATCTCCTTGATGGCTTCAGTGAGGTTTCCCAGCTGCTTATTGGGTCGGAGGCTCGCCATTTTAAATGGCACCCGACACTGGGGACAGGAGAACATCTCCAGCCGTGACTGCATCTCACAGAAGCTCACTATGCACAAGTGGCAGTAGCTGTGTCCACAGCTGATGCTCACTGGCTCAGTTATCAGTTGTAGACAGATGGAACAGGTGGCTTCCTCCCTCATCTTCTTGGTGATTGGGGTTGAGGCCATGGCTTTTCCTGAAAATCTCTAATATTGGATCTATAGGCAGAGATGAAGCAGCCAGAACTTTCCCACAGTGATGGAACTTCACCTTGTCTGAGCCTCTTTCCGATGTACTGGCTGCCACTGGCCTCCACAGGTCACATGGTCTTCTCTCTAGAGAGAAGAAATAGATTGGAATTTAGAAGACACATCAAATGTAGCTGTACTGTGGAATATGGTAGTGACTATTACATGTGGCCACTTTGAATTAATAACAATTAAATAGAATTTAAAATTCCATTTCTCACACCCACTAGCCACATTTCAGTGCTTAATAGGCGCAGGTGATTGGTGGCTACACGAAAGCCCAGATAGAGAACATTCCATTATTGTGAAAAGTTTTCTTGGACCAAGCACTGAGAGAGAGAGAGAAATGAGGCAGACTTCACCAAAGTTGCAGCAAGAGAGAGAACTCAGTGAGGGACTGTCAAATTCTTTCCTGCTCTAATGAATATTAAGAATAATTAGTACCAGAGTTATTTCTTTGTAACTGGTAGTAACACTTACATCCAGGTAACCCAGGTAACTGGGTGGTCTATGAAGGATTTCATTGAGACAATCACATTTGATTCTAATTTTGTTTGTTTGTTTTGGCCGGCAGTGAAAGTGAGGAGTCCTAACCACTGGACCACCAGGAATTCCCTAAATTTGACTCTAATTAAACCCTCACTCCCACCCCACAAAGAACAAAAGACACCAGGTTAATAAAGTCCCCAGTGGAGACCCAACCAGGATGATAATGAAAGTAAAAAAGACAACCAGAAAAACCAACAAGTTCTTTTTGCCCTCCCTGACCTGAGGAAAAGAGAATTGGAAAGAGAGCTGGGAAGAGAAGGGGTTGGTCCTGGGGTGCAGAGCTCCTGGAGAGCTAGGGAGGTGACTGTCTGTCTTTTCAGGCCAGGACTTGTCTCTCAGGAGAAGTTCAGGGTGACTGGAACACAGGGGGTTGGCAGAACCCAGGATGTGGGGAGGTGAGAAGCAGATGGGGAAGGTGGGGCCTCTGTAGGATCCTGGGTGCTGGACACCTAGTGTCCACCAGCGAGGACCTGACAACTAAGACAAAGGAGGGGTGACTAGGAACAAAGGACTCGGTCCCTTCACCCACTGCTCCGGCTGCTTCGTGAACCTAGCCCTGTTCCCTGCTTCCCCATTCCTGGGATTTTGTCAGGGAGGGCAGCAGAGGACGGAGGAAGAGAGTAGCTTTTCCTTTGAACTGACAGTGGCAGAATTAAAAGCAGGGATTCAACTAAAGTTACTGGGTAGGCTATGTCCCTCTAATAACCAGGACCACATTAGATCTCTTGGATCCGTAGAGAATTTCTTCCGGAGACTTCTGTTCTTTGGCAGGTTATCTCCCCCAAGAGATACACTAGGCTCCGCTCTGCCAGGGGTGCTTTGCTCCCGGGGAGAAGGACATCCCCTCTGAGGCCCCAGGGTTCCTGTCCTGGGCTTCACTCACCTCACATCCTGGATCTTCAGAGATCTGACATGGAGTCTGGCGAAAGAGAAAGCAGACAGGGTGTGAGAGCTATGAAGCACAGTCCTGACCAGTTTCAGAGTTCCAGCAGCTGTTACCAGGAAACAAACTCCCTTCCCCGTGCCGCCCACCACACACACAGACACAGACACAGACACACACACACACACACACACACACACACACACACACACACACGTCTCTTTTCCCTCCACCGAAAAAACCTGGGCCTGGACCCTTCACTCCCTTCACCATGCAGCAGGCACATATGCACGGCTAGCTCCCTCCGTAGCTGCCGGTTCCTGAGATCTGGGTGAGGAAGTTAACTCAGACTGGACTAAACTCAGAAGTGAAACTGCCGCGGGAGGTGGCGCCCTGTAGATCCGGGGAGGAAGCTCATGAAATTGCCCGTGTCTTTTGCACTCAGCTTGTCCTGAAAGGGAGGGGAGACAGTAGGAAAAATATTTTTTTTCTACAGCAATAAAACAAAGGGACAGATTAATAATTCAGTAAACTCTTTTGTGACCCCAGCACAGAGGATCTAAAAGCAGGAAGTCTGCAGAGTTCACAGACTCTGACGTGAGATCTTTCTACTTTTGCCACCAACCCCCTTGGGATTTATAAGCCTTTCTAGCTGATGTTATGTTTTACTATTTTTAGTCGCCGATTGTTTTATAACTGCTCTGAAGGGTGTGGTGAAAAAAGGGGCGGTACAATAATAGGGCTCATTGGTATCAGAGAATTTGCTCAAGCCGATCTCCCATTCTTTTCTGTCCTGATACTGTGTCTCATTTTCCTCCTCGGTATCCCTCCGCAAGATGCAAATACTTATCAATAGTCAGAGTCAGGCACCAAGGACAGCAAACGGGAGCCACTAATGGCCCAGCAGTGAGTGGCCTCAGCTGGGGGCCATGTGAGGCCTGGGGGCCATCACCTGCAATGTGCAGGAAAGACTGTGGGGTCTGGGGTTGAGTACTTGGTGCCTCAGCTCCAGCCTCTCCAGTTCAAAGTAAGAGCAAAAATACTGTCCCTACCCAATTTAGAGTTATTAGTTAATGGGCAAAAAATAAATCAATAAATAAGACCCTGCCACATTTATAGCCTTAGGTGTAAGAGGTATTTATGATAAGTGCACAATAAATGTTTGCTTAGGAAATAAATATATGCAGTGGCCCAAAGGAGCCAGTAAGGAAGGCTGAGGACACAGGCAGGGGTAGTTAAATTTGGCTTCTGAGAGCTGCCTGGGGTAACCTCTGGGCCCCTAGCCTGGCAGGTCAGCTGCTGACCTTGAAAGCTCATGGAAGCCTGTGCTCAGGGCAACGGACCCACAGATAGGGCCTGGGGGGAGTTGGGTGCAGCCACAGTCCTGCTGGTCCAGCAGCTCAGTCTGGAGGCAAAATTGTGAAACAGGTTCCTCTCTTCCCACCCAAACAGGAATCTCTCTTCAGCACTGCATCCTCCTGGGTGCCCACAGAGCCTTCTGCCATTTTGCCACCAGGTGACTGAATCATCTTGCTCAGGCATGTCCTGTGGTAGCAGGCCCTGCACACAGTACAGGACAGATCTACTCCTGAGGCAACTAGTATACAGGCAGAAGAGAAAGAACGAGCCCCTGTATCCCTGATCCAATGATGACTCCTTACAGATTCCCACGACTTTCATTGTTGTGGCTGTGACTCTGGATGTAGGCACAGCTCACCCCAAATTTGTCCTGTCAAAGGATCAGGAAAAGGAAGCTAGTGAATGCCCAAAAGAAAACAGACTGCCACTACAGGCAACAAAAGCAAGACAAAAGCATCAACCTCATGATGGGGACTGTCTTGTGACAGCTGCCCCATCTTGCACCTGTTTCTTGTTGCATGAAGGAGGACTGGTTCACACAGAGAGCTGCAGGTCTTAAAGGGGAGAGGGATGCAGATGAGGCTTCAGAGATTTGTTCTCCAAAGGTGAGCCTAGGGAGAGACCAATCGGAGCTGCCCCATGGGGGATGCATCCCCTCCAGTAAGTGAGGCTGGGCTTGACCCTGTGAGTCTGGGCTGTAGGAAGCTGAAGACACAGAATGGGGAGTGGGTCACTGGAGTCTCCTTAAAAAGGCCTGGACTCTGGCTGTTCCTTCCGTGGGGAACAGTCATCCCTTAGATATCCCTAGGGTGCCTTCCCTCAACTCCTTCAGGTGTCTCTTCTCAGCCAGGCTTAGTCTGACCACCTAGTTTACAGCTGCACCCCTCCCCCACTCCCAAGCCTTCTAACAGTGCTCTTTTGTTCCCATGGCACTTATTACTGAATATTTTATTTATGTATCTTGCTCATTGTCTGCCTCCTGCATGAGAATGCAGATTCCACAGCGGTAGAGAGTTTTGTCTGTGTTTTTAATTGATGAATCTCGAGTGTCTAGAGTGGTTCCAGGCATAGTGGTATGTGTTAAACAAGAGAGTAACATTCTATGCTGCACTAAACACACATCATAGGAGGTGTGCACACATGTGTGTAATGTATGTAGCGTGGCATGGGTGATATGTGAGATGTGTGATGGTTTGTGCTATATGTAGTCTGTGATGCATGCTTGCATGTGTGTGATTTGTGTGATATGGTGTCTGGTATGCGTGTGTATGTGTGTGTATAGTGTATGTTGTGGGGTGTGTGGTGGTGTGTGCTAGGTGTGGATTGTGATACATGGTTTGTGTTTATGTGATACGTGCGATGGGGTATGTCTGTGGAATGTGAGCAGAGTGTGTGTATGTACATGTTGGAGGTGGTAGGCAAGTTAACATGGCGAATAGTGCCAGAAAATACCAGAATCCATGATGGCTACTGGTTTTCTAGAGAGCTGTTTCTCTCTCCTGTAGGATATATTAATGATTTGAACTGGAAGAAAATGAAAATGAAAGAGAAGACCTAGGCTTCTGAGAAAGAAGGCTTAGCAGAGGTTTGATAAGAGCGCACTGCAAAAGTGATCTTGAGGACAAATTTTTCATATGAGCAAAGGGGAGAGAGGAAGCAACACCCAGAGGTAAGAAGAGAGGACACAGGATTATAGGTTTAAAAAAAAAGCCTGAGAGAAAACTTATCTGAGCTATTGAGAATGATGAGCAAAACGACTTCTCCAAAGAAGTCTTAGCATCCTTTGCAAATAGTTTGTACCTATATCTCTCATGATAGGGATGACTGTTTCACTGAAGCCTGCTCTGAGGTGAGCTGGGACTTAAAGAGGAGCATTTTCCTTGGCTGACCCTAGGGAGAGCTGGTAATAGCACACCTAACAAGAAAAGGATGTGTGCTCTCACCATTTCTATTCAACATTGTACTGAAGGTTCAAGGAAATAAAAAGCATCCAGATTTAAAAGGAAGAAGACAAATACTCTATTTGCCAATAATATAATTTTGTATACAGAAAATCTTAAGGAATCCGTATACAAAAAGTATAGATCTAATAAATGAGTTCAGCAAAGTTGCAGGATACAAGATCAATATATAAAATTTCATTGTATGTCTATATACTAGCAATGAACAATCTGAAAATAAAATTAAGGAAATAATCATTTATAATAGCATCAAAAGTAACAAAATACTTAGGAATAAAATTAACAGAAGCAAAACAAAATTGTACACTGAAATTTGTAAAACATCATCGAAAGAAATTAAATTGACCTAAATAAACAGACATTGCATGTTCATGGATTAAAAGGCTTCATATTGTTAATTAGCAATACTTCCCAAGTTGTTCTGCAGACTCAGTGCATGCCTATCAAAATTCCAGCTGGCTTTTTTTTTAGACATTGGCAAGCTTATCCTAAAACTCATCTGGAAATACAAGAGGCCCACAATAACCAAAACAATCTTTAAAAAGATCAGAGTTGCAGGACTCGCGGTTTGCAATTTCAAAACTTACTATAACACTACAATAATCAAGGCTATGTGTTACTATCATAAGGATAAACCTATAGAGCAATAAAATTTAGTAAAGAGTCTAGAAATAAACCCATACATTTATGGTCAATTAATTTTAACAAGAGTGCCAAAACAGTTCAATGTACAAAGAATAATCTTATTACCAAACAACAGTGGGACAACTGGATAATCCATATGCAAAAGAATGAATTTGGAGCCCTACCTCACACTATATACAAAAATTAACTCAAAATGAAACAAAGATCTAAATGTAAGCACTAAAACTCCATACAACCCTGAGAAGAAAACTTTGGGGCAAATCTTTGTAATCTTAGCTTAGCAATGGTTTTTTGGATGACACCAAAAACACAAGCAATAAAAGAAAAAACTAGGTGAGTTGGAGAGCATCAAAATTAAAGACTTTTGAGCTTCATAGGACTCCATTAAGAAAATGAGATGACAATCCACAGAATGGGAGAAAATTTTTGTGAATTATATATCTGACAAGGGACTTGTATCTAGAATGGTAACTTGTATATAAAAAGTTCCTACAACCCAATAACAAAAAGATAAATAACCCAACTTAAAAATGGGCAAAGGATCTAAGTATACATTATTCCAAAGAAGACATACAATACCCAATAAGCACCTGAAAAGATATTCAACAACATTAGTCATTATGTAAATGTAAAACGAAACCACGAGATACCACTTCACATCCTCTAGGATAGTTATAATAATAATAATAAAAAAAAAACAGACAATAACAAGCGGGGAAATTGGAACCCCATACATTGCTTGTGGGGATGTAAAATGGTGCAACGTTTTTGGAAAACAGTTGGTAGTTCTCTAAAAAGTTAAACATAGAGTTACCATGTGATCCAGCAATTCTACTTCTATGTAAATACCTAAGAGAATTGAAAACATACTCATGTAGAAACTTGTACATGATTGTTTATAGTAGCATTATTCACAGTACCCACAAAGTGGAAACAACCCAAATGTCCATCTACTGATCAATGGACACCTACAATGTGTTAAATCCATACAGTGGAATATTATTAAGCCATAAAAAAGAATGAAGTACTGATACATGTCCCAACACTGATGGACCTTGAAAACATACTAAATGAAAGAAGCCAGACACAAAAATAACACATATTGTATGATTCTTTTTATATTACATGTCTAAGATAGGCAAACTCATAGAGACAGAAAGTAGGTTAGTAGTTGCCAGGGGCTGAGAGGAGGTAATGGGGAATTGCTACTTAAGGATATAGGGCTTCTTGTCGAAGATCTTGAAATGTTCTGGAATTTAGATAGTGATAATGACTGTACAACTTTGTGAATACACTATAACCACTGAATTGTACACTTTAAAAAGGTGTGTTTTATGGTATATGAAATATATCTT